ATTGACATCTGTTCTGAAACTTATACAATTAGAGAGCCAGTGGGGACACTGAGAACTTAACTGATTTGTCCAGAGTAACACAGTTAGCATGGCTCAGAAGTGAGACTTGAACTGCGACCTTCTAGATTCAGACCAGTTTACTATCCACTACATCAGACTGCCTCTCCTTATTGGGTCACCAACAACAGCCGTGCTGTTTAATTTCCTTATCAATATTTTGAAATATTAAGATGTTGTAATGTATAACCCTTCATCTTTCCTTTCTCTGTTGGGGATTCATGGTGAAGCTAGCCAAAGTAAATATGTATTTTAGACATTGTATATGTACATATATATAATAGTTGATGTGGAATCTTTAATTTCAAGAGTTATTGCTATTCCCCATCGTGGTTGTCTCTTTTTTTTTTCTGACTGTAAGCCTACTTGGCTTCAGTTTTCTTTTTCTAAAAAAGAAATACATCAGTCTTTCTCCCTTCATCTCTCCTTTCTCTGTTAGGGGTATATGGCTAGCACAGCCAAAATAAATAGAAACAGAGCTGGTGGAGACATTAACATTGTTGACAACCTTCCTCTTAGGAATAACCCATGAATTCAGCCTCCTCACATAAGAAAGAGACAGAGACAAGAGAGAAAAAGGGCTGGAGTGGATACTGAATTTCCAAGCTTATCAGGTTTCCCTGGACATGATGAGGGGAGGTGGTTCTGGAAGGAAGGAATACACCACTTGCATGGTTGGGTAGGATGATATCATGGTATTGTGATGCCAAAAACCATCCTAGTGGAATAGTCAGTCCAGGTAGAAGGGAGAGAAAATAGATTTCTCTTCATTAAAAATAAAAAAGAACAGTCTTAGAAGTTTTTACAGATATGGGACATGGCATATTTTTTCTTATATGAAAGGAAAATTTATTAAGTACATACTATGTGCTAGGCACTGTGCTAAGTTCTTTCATTTGACACTAAGAGGTAAGTGCTATTCTTTTCTCCATTTTGCAGGCAAGGAAACTGAAGCAGACAGAGGTTAAATGACTTTCCAAGGATCACAGAGCTAGTAAGTATCTGAGGCTAGATCTGATCTCAGATCTTTCTGATTTTAGGCCCAGCGCTGTATCCACTGTGCCACCTAGGCCACCATATTATTAGTTTTATTTAAATGTTTTACTTTGTGACAAGAGACATCCCAGGAAATGAGACTAATCTGCAAATGTTTGTAATGTAAAAACAAAACAATATTAAAAAAGGAAAAACAGAAAAAGCCCTAACCCTTAAAAATTTTTATTGATGTCTTTCTTTTTTATATCAATTATTTCCTTTAATACCCATATCCTTTCTTTGGAATTAAAAAAAAGTCAAGCAAAACTGCAATATAATGATCAATCATAGCATTGTGAGTATGTCACAGTCAGTATATGAATGTCTAAGTGGCAGAGGAGGGTGAGTGGGATTGAGACCACCTACCCAAAATAAATCCAGAGGTTTTTCTCAGTAGAAACAGAAGTTTTATTTTAGCAAGTCTTGCGCGAGAGTTGGGCATCACCTACCCAGGGCGGACTGGAGTAGTGAGGCAAGATACAACAGCAAGCAACCAGTTACATACCCTTAGATAAACCACTCCAAGAAACCCCCCCCCCAACTTGTTTACCTCAATCTCTTTATCCTCATTGGTTGAGGCAAGAGACCTTACAATCTATATTTAGAACCCAAGAAATATATTTTACCCAAACCAAGCTTGGAAGCTAGAAGATTGCCTTATTTGGTAAGGACAAGGCTGGGGTGATGTTTACGAAACAAGGGAGGGGGTAAGCAGCTGGCGTATGACCCTATTATATGATTTACAGGAAAACGGAACTTAGGCCCAGCTAATGGTAAATCCTTAACTAAATATTTGGGGCAAAGCTTCCATTTCATATGAGAAACTTTCACTTGTCCCACACAAGGGTAACTCCAGAAATCACACATGGTGTACCTGAACAAATATGGTTGCCATATTAACTTGTTTTACTTGACTATTTTTCTTAATTATAAAGAATGGCTCAGAATGGAGTCAGAAGTGGATATTGGGAAAAGGTTGTGATGCTAAAAACATAAAGACATCAATAGGCCAACATAGCAATTTAAATATGCCACATTCAGCATAAGCAATTTCTCCATTTTCCACTGAGATGTGACAGACATACTTTTAAGTTAATAATTATATAAATTCAATTCACTTCAATTCAACATTTATTAGACATATGCTGGGAGTTGGCATAAAGAAGGGAAAAAAGGAACCCATTCAAATATAGCTATTAATATATTAATGTACTAATACATTGATATAACAATATAATAATATAATATATTAACATATAAATATTCAGAAATAACATGTTGTTTTGGAAAAGAATTATAAAATCACAATTTGGATTTTTTTTAAATTGAGCAAACTGTCTTTACTTTTTGGAACTACCATTCTAGGAAAAAGCAGAGGGTTGGGAAGTTACATCTTCAAATTTAAGGCTTAGATAGAATGTGAAGGCTTCTTGAGATTTTGGAGTTTAATGTAGAATCTTGGAGCAAAAACTACTCAGTTTCTTGGTAAGTGCTTAGGTAAAGAAAATATTTTCCTTGGCAATGAGCATTTCACTTTTTCTTGGATAAAAAAAAAAACTATTAGAAAAAAAAAGTGGAGTTGGTCCAGCTTATTTAAATAGGCAGAGACCTAAATCAAAATAAATATTCTGGAGAAATCTTTCCTGGACTAAATGAAGAAGCAGAGGACAAACAAAGGAAAAGACAAGAAAAACAGTTTTTGGCTAAAATTATCTTTTAAGACTCAGGCACAGTTTGCACTCCTCTAACTCACTGTCAGAGAGAAACTAGAAACAGCCCTAACAAATCCCAGAGATGAATACTGGGTTAATAGAAGGAACACACGTGAAAGTTGACATTGGAATGATATGATAACCAAACCTTAATCTGCTAAAATTCAGTTGGAGGAAGGCAGGACCAGCTGACTAAGACCTTCTGAAAAGCATTACATCCTCAAATCCAAGGTCTCTAAACAATTGGCATGTGATAATCTTAATATTCATTAAGTTGTAAATGTGAACAGAGACCCACTTGCTTGCCTCTGAGTCTAGGAGATTTAAATTTGTAAAGTATTTCTGAAGACAAGTAAGAAAAAAAATCTTTCGAGTACAGTGTGTATTTTCAGCCTTCCAATTGTTTTCCCCTCACATAGAATTCCCCATGTTTTTCCTAAGTTTTTGATTCTGTTCAAGACCAAAAACCTGTTTGTCAAGTTCAGGCCAAGAGTTAATTTATAGAATGAAACTGTAAACCCAACAATAGAAGTTAATGACAGAAACTCTGACAGAATCATAAATGTCATGTTTGGAATCTGCATTTCTTCTAAAAACAGCAGATGGTTTCTTGGCATAGCATTATTTTCCATCTTTGCATCAAATTCAAGGCTGAAATTTTAATATACTATAGGTAGGGAGGTAAGACAGACACAAGACCTTTTAGAGAAAAGAAGAATTTGTTTCCTAGTGGACAGAAAACCAGGAGGAGGCATACAGAAAATAGATTGAGGCCTCAAACTCCCAGATGATATGGGAGGAGATGGAATGAAGGGCATAATAAGTTGAGGGATTGGCCTTGGCAAGGAGGGGGATCACCTCCTCATTGAGATTGGAGAACACAATGAGGGATGATGATGAAGAAGGCTATTGAGATGGGGAACAGAGGGAAGGAGCTCTAGACAGATGACCTTTATTTACTCACTAAAGTAGGAATTAAGGTCCTCTTTTTAGAGTGAAGTGGGAGGAAGTGGTAAAGAAAGTTTGAGGAGAGAAGTTTTATTTCCCCTTGTTTTACAGGTTCCTTATACCAGAAAAATGTCTTTTATAGTGAAACCTTGATGAATGAAACGCTCAGAGAAGGGCTAAGGGATCACCTGAAAGCTTTTTTGATTAAACATTTCTTGCAAATCTATCAGAATAAAATCCTTCTACATATACTGAGTAGTCTATTGGAATTAGTCAGAAATTAGTCAGGAAATCCAACACTGCAAATAAAATTTTTAAAAAAGATAGGAAACTGCACATTTTATAGCATCTCTGAGATTTTTTTATAACTCTCAGTTCTAGTAAATCAATCGATAATGATTAATGTCAAACTATCCTTTGAGGGCCATCAGGCAGGGGTCAGACAAGGGAGCCATATAGGGGCTGAAAATTTGCTAAACCTTGGTGATGGCTGCAAAGGCAGAGAGAAAGGCACATTTTGGGTAGTAACATCTAACCCACAGACTTTGCTCTTCAGTCTTTTCAGCTGTGTCTAACTCTTTGAGACGCCATCTGGGGTTTGCTTGGCAAAGATACTAGAGTGGTTTGTCATTTCTTTCTTCAGCTCACTTTAAGGAAACTGAGGCAAATGGGCTTAAGTGACTTGGCCAAGGTCACACAGCTAGTCAGTGTATGAGGCCAGATTTGAACTCTGATCTTCCTGACTCCAGACCTGGTGTTCCATCCACTGTATTTTGTGCCCCAAACTGAGCTAGGTGCTAGACTACAAAGGCAAACACAAAAGAGGTTTTTTTTTTCCCCCCTCAAGAAGCATGCAATTTTGGAGGGTGGTGGGTGGGAGAGATAATGTGTGCACATCTAAGTGGGAGTGGGAAGTGGAGAGAGTCTTGCTTCCCCCCTTCTGGTTCAGTTGATGTAGTCACAGAATGTAACCACTGAAAACAAAGTATTCATTTGTTAACAAAGCATTAACACCCAGAGATCCTTTTTACAAAGTGTGAATGTTATTTTGATGGAACTAAAGGGAGCCTGGTCAGTGGATAAGTGAAAATTATGGACCATACCCCTGGAAGCTTTAAATAGTATTAGCCAAGAGTCAGGGGAAAACTTCAGTTCTTCACTTCTCAGGGTGAGAGAAGAGAAAGAAAGGATTTTTACTCCTTCCCCACTCACAACTCATCCATAATATCTAGCAGCCAAACTACTTACCCAGAGAGGTACTCCATCCAGCAGCTGGCATCAGCTCAAGAGAGTTTGAAACACATACTTCAGACAGATGCAGATATGGAGAAACATACACTCAAGGCAGAAATCAGTTCCAAGGAGTGTGACCTTGGAAGCAGAGAAGAGAGCCTGCTTTGAACTCAAGAGGGTCATTGTGCTCTGCAAAGAGTAAACCCTGGGAGCCCAGCGAGCAATTTGCTTATTGGAGAATCTGCTTCCAAAAGCGAGATTTGTAGAGCAGATTCTACAGGAGGAAGGACTTCAAGGCCCTTCAGTACCAGAGCTGTGAGGCTAAATGTATATCCCACTAACAGTGAATTCAAAGTTTGTGAAGATGTCTCATAGATAATGTTTATGGGAGGAATGTCTTGTAGGTACTATTTTTACTATACCATCTTGGGAGGTACATTTATTGGGATCTAATTGTACTTACTGGTTTATGGTTAAGGGGAAGCATGGGGGCTCAGAAGTTAATTTTTTTTTATTAATTTATTTTTATTTATGAATAATCATTTCCATAAGCTTTTGAGTTTTAAATTATTCTCTCTCTCAAGTTAATAGTTTTAAGATCAAATATCTCTAGGATACCAATTGAACCCCAAGATAGCAGCTGTCCTTTGAGAAGTGGCTTAGAGGATACATATTAAGTATATATATAATATATGTAAAACCAGGATGAAGTAATTGGAGAGGGGAGCCATTGGCAGGTAAGTTTGGGAAAGATCTCATGAAGGAGGTAGCATTTGAGCCATGCTTTGAAGGAAACCTAAGGATTCTATTAAGTACAGGTCAGTGTAGCAAATTCCCCTTTCTGGACAATTCTAAATCCCAATATAGCTACTATTTTAACTATGGGACTCTATAAATTCCAGCAATTCTCTAGCTCACCACACCCCCTTAGGGAGATATGCAAGACTAGTGACTTCCCTGACTATTGTCAATCTAGTATCTCTCCTCTGCTTAATAAACAGACTTGAAATGCAGCAGATAAAGCACCGGGCCTGGAATCAGGAAGATCTGAGTTCAAGTGTGGCCTCAGACACTTACTAACTGTGTGACCCTAAACAAGTCACTTAACCCTCAGTTAAAGGCCTCAGTCTCCTCATCTGTAAAATGAACTGGAGGAGGAAATGGCAAACCGCTCCAATATTTTTGCCAAGAAAACCCCAAATGCAATCACAAAGAGTTGGAAATGACTGAATAATGACAAAGATCAGTCCACAGAAATGAACTCAACCTATCTTTCTGGAGAAATACAATAAAATCTCATTTAACAGGACTCCAAATAACTAGCATCTTTAAATAGCTAGAGCTTCTTCTCAATCTTTAAGTTAACAACCTTTAGTATAAGTGCTGGTCTCAGGATACGTTTGTCCAAATTTCCTACACCTTACATCTATAGTAAAATTCATTTCAATCATTCAGCCAACATTTATTAAATACCTCCTGTGCCGCACAGTAGCCAGAGTGCTGGGCTTAGAGTCAGGAAGGACTGAGTTCAAATGCTACTTCTGATGTGTGACCTTTGACAAGTCACTTGAGCTGTGTGTTCCCAAAGAACTCCCTGTGACTGATTTACCAAGTCATATCTGGATTGCAGTCTGTATTGGTGGAAGAATTACTGCACTGGGAGTTTCCCACAGTGATGAGATCATAGATCATTCACATATTCATATTCATAGATGCAGGACAGTGCTAGACCATGAGCATACAAAGATGAGAAGCAGCAATTTTTGTCCTTAAGGAGCAACTTAAGAAGATTCAATATGGAAACAGGCAAGTATAAAGCAGGGTTTGTTGTTCAGTCGTGTCTGACTCTTCATGACCCCATTTGGGGTTTTCTTGGCAAAGATACTGGAGTGGTTTGCCATTTCCTTCTCCAGCTTATTTTACAGATGAGGAAACTGAGGCAAGCAAGGTTAAGTGACTTACCCAGGATCACACAGCTACGAAGTGTCTGAGGCCAGATGAGTCTTCCTGACTCCAAGCTGGGCACTCGGTCCACTGCACTACCTAGTTGTCTCATAAAACAGGGTAGGATGTAGCTAATGGGCATAAATAAGTATAAAACAGGGTAAAATGATGAAAAAACAAAGAAGAAATCTAGACAAAGCACTCCAAAAAAAATTGAGAAGGGAAAGGAATCATGAAAAGCTGCTTGGAGAAGATCATCTGTGCTGGGACTCGAAGGACCAGGAGACTTAGCCATTAGAAATGCAGAAGGTGCAGGCAGGCAGCATAGTGCATAGAGCACTGATAGGGAGTCAGGAAGGCCTGGGTTAGAATCCTGACTCAGAAACTCAATAACTGCATGACCTTATCAAGACACTTAATCATTCTGCCTCAGTTTCCCAATCCATCAAATGAGAATGATAATAGCATTTATTCCACAGAGTTGTCAGGAGGATAAAATAAAGTAATACATGTAAAATGCTTTGCAAACCACAAAGCACTATATAAATGTTAGGTATTATGATTATCATTGCCCACCTAGGGAATGTGGGCACCAACTCACGTAAATCCTCAGAAACAGGAATGGAAAAGGTCAGATCTGAGGACAACGTAACCATGGAGGGTTGTAGTTGTTTGTCCTTCCTTTTCAGAGGGCTGATGACGTCACAGGGTGGTGACTTGACAGGCACATGAATTGGATTTAAGGGAGCTGCACAGAGTCATCCGCCTCACTCTCTCTTCCAGAATCATCAAAGTCCAGTGGCAAGACAAAAGTCAAGATGACTGGTGATGGCCTGGGATGCAGCAGATGACCTTGGTGTCTTCAATGTCTGACCAAACTCTAAGTGCTCCACAGCGCCTGCTTTGGCTGCTTTTGTGGCCATTGGAATAAATTGTTCTCATCTGCCCATTCCATCCCAGGGAAGTCTTCACATGCTTCAGGTAGACATCTTTGTAACTCACCAATAGGTTTGAAGCCTGTCAGTTACCTTCAATGTAGAGGGTAGCTTGTGAATTAAGGCTAGAATAATGAGCCATGTTCAGAATGCAGAGTCATGCTTTAGGTATGGGTGACTGTAAGGTTCCTTATGACTTTAAGAGTCTGGTTCTATGACTGCCAATGCTGTAAGATAACCACGCACATGACATTACAAGATCATCAATCATCCCATAAAGATGATATACACACACACTGCATAGGCAAGCCCGGGTATTAAGACTCTGAGGAAAGATTTTCAGAAAGACTTTGAATACAAAGCAGCTTTTTTGGGGGGTTAACCCTAAGTTAACCAGAGTGCCCCATTTTTCTGAACATTCCATTAATCAAGGTTTACACTATACAAGGATTTTATTCCTCACTACAAACAACCTGTTAGAAAGGGGCAAATTAATCTTTCAGTAACTGAAACTGAAAGATGTTCATGACAAATGTAAAAGTCCTGATATCTTAACACTAAGTCATAGTCACGTGCAAATCTCCACTTGTTGAAAAGCTCAAGTGTTCCATTTCCATGGTAATAAATGTGATAGTAACTCCTATAAGCATGGAACCCTTTGATACTGAAGTGGTTATTAAAAAGAAGGAAGTGGTCAAGGTAATGGAATTTTCTTTATGAAGCAGGTTACATTATAGCACTGGAGTAGTTCAAAATATTGATGAGGGAATTAAAAAAGATGACTGACCTCAAAAATGGGTCAAAGCCTACTGTACTGACTGCTCAATCATTGTGTCAGAAACTCAGAGTCATAACTAGGGCAGATCAACAGGAGATTTGCTCCAGGGCATTTAAAGTTAGAAAATGCTTATGGTACTTGTAGGTCTGAGCTTAGGTGAACTCTTCCCCATTTATCCTCCAGCAGCTATGTTGGGTACAACAGTGGATAGAGTGCTGTGCTTGGAGTCAGGAAAACCTGAGTTCAAATCCAGCCTCAGAAACTTCCTAGTTATGTGACCTTGGGTAAATCATTAACCTCTGTTTGCCGCTGGAAAAGGAAATGGCAAACCACTCCAGTATCTTTTCCGAGAAAACTCCATGGATAGAGTCCCAAAGGGTAGGACATGACTGAAATGATGGAACAACAGTTGCTTTGCGTTGACCTGTGGTTTTCTCTACTCAACGCTCTGCCCAGAGCAGTCAGTGTCTCCGTAGTGTATTGCCTGGCTTATAGTAAATGCTTAATAAATGCTTATTACATTCATGGTTACAGAGTCTCTCTCCCTTCCCCCTCAATTGAATTTGTCTTAAGATGTTGTTTTTGGGTAAGTCGCTTGATCTCTTCCTGTCCCAGGCAACTCTCTAACAGCATTAAGATGCAGACCTGCAGTGTTAGGGGGAGTTTCCTCACTGTACCAGTGAAATCACAGGTGTGGTCCAGAAAAGGGGGAAAAGTGGATTAGAGGGCTATTTGATCTCATTCTACTTGCCTGAGGGGAGAATTAGGCTGCTTGCCCTTGATTTAAACATTTCTAGTTACAACTCTGCAGAAACCTGTCACCAACAGGAATAATGGGGAATGTACATCCTATTAAACCCTGAGCATGGCTCAGAAGCAGTGAGTTGCCAGGTGATGCACAAGGCAGAAAGAACAAAAGATGTTTCATGTTTACAGTAGCACAGTGCCAGGAGCAAAGGAGGAGACCGAAAATAGACCTATGGCAGGTGGCAAGGGCAAGCTATTCGGCTCTAGTTAGGAGTGGCCAGTGACTAGTGGACTTTTTCCACGTGCTCTGCTCTGAGCCACACCTGTCACAGTTCTATAACGCCAGATGAAACATGTAGACACTTTCACCTTTGATGATGCCCTCACTTCATCTTGAATAGGTAGATCTTCTGAAATTTCTAAACATGGTCCTTTGTCATTTCTTGATATTAGTATTAATTTCGCAATGACAAACTTATCATTTGGGAGCAATTTTGAGTTCTTTTCTTCCCTTTTCTTAAAAAGTACAACAGTGACAATGACAAAAAAAAGGTTCATCTATGGAGAATGTGGAGAGATTGTTGTTTGTTTTTTTAATCACATATTTAATTATTAATGTGCACTGACCTTGAAAGCAGCTGCCTGTCACTGGTAT